TGTGTGGGAGAGGAGGGAAGGGAGATGGCTAGTGACCAGATCAGAGGGAGCCTTAGAAGCCAGGGCAAGGTGTTCGGATTTTATTCTACTGTGATGGCAAACCAGTAGGAGACTTTAAGCAGAAGAGGGCACTGCTCTAGAAATGTGTTTAAAAGTCCAGCCTTGCCACTATGTGAGAAATGGCTTGTAGGGAATTAAGAGAAGAAACAGAGGAACCACTTGGGAGGTCAATGCACATGGTCCAGGCTTTTCCTTAGCTCAGGTGACTAGGACTAGGGCAGGTTTCTCAGCCTCAAAACTACTGACATTTCGGGTCATATAATCCTTTGTTGTGGAGCGCTGTCCCGTGCACTGTAGAAGTTCAGGAGCATCTTTCATCTCTACTTACTAGATGCCAGAAGGAATCCCCCTTCTCCAGTTGTGACAACTAAAAATGTCTCCAGTCATTGACAAATGTCCCCTGGAGGGCAAAACTACCCCTGCTGCAAATAACTGGACGAGAGTGTTAGCTGTGGAAGTGACAAGAGTGGTAGATTCTGAACATGACAGAAGGAAGAGCTGACGGGATTGGCTGATGAGAACAGATACAGAGTGTGAGAGAAGACAAGAGTCAGTGATGACATAAGTCCAGGGGTTTTGACCTGGCAACTGGAAGTACGGAGTTGACATAGACAGCCGTGGGGAAGACTATGGGAGGGAGAATCAACAGCATTTCTTTGAACATGTTGAATTTGAGATTCCTGTTAGGCATACATGTAGAAATGGCAAATAGGCAGCTGAAGGTCCAAGGAAATACTGGAGTTTTATGACTACCTTCAGTAGTTATTCACATACATATGCAGAGACAGATTTAGATGATATAGATGCTAGATAGACAATAGGAAAATGATTAGATAATTACATAGATAGATGATTAAGTAGGTAGTTAGAATGACAGACAAATAGATGGTACTTTCAACTGGTCAAGGTCACCTAAGAAAAGTGTGAAGGTAGAGAAGAGGGGTCCACAGACAAAACCAACCACATTCTAGTAGTTAAAGACATAGAAAGGAACAAAGGATATTTATTGAGTCAGAATTGTCAGCGTGGTAGGTAAGAGTAAAATTATAATAATATAGTGAGACTTAAGCCAAGAGGAAAAACAATGTAAAAATAGAAATAATTATTCATATCAAATGGTGCTAAGATATCAAGTACAATAACAGAGAGGCACCCGCTGGCACCACAGAGTTTACTGATGACTTGACAAGAACAGTTTTAATGAGATGTCCCAACAATGTGGGTGAAGAGACTCAGCTATCCTTACTAAACCAACAAGAGGACTGGAACACTTTCTAAAGTACTTTGAAGCTTTTATCTACAACAATGTAAGGTGAACAGAGCTCACTGATGTGATTAGACATATTTTCCATGTAGGAATAGTTTGCAAGGAGCATATCAGGGTTAAGGCAGTCATTAAAAAGAAGGTTCTTGCTAAAACTTCCCAGACAGGTTGTACATTTAAAAGCCTTTAAGAAGGGATTCAAATGAAAAGGGCACTGAAGTTCTTCAGACTGAAAAGAAATCATAGATCATATTAACGAGGCATAGAAACTTAGGTTACACTAGAGCAGACTCTTCTCCAAATATGCCTTGAGTCAATGAGCCAAATCCCACCTATGAATAAACTGCTCATCTCACCAGCCCCCATCTTTCAGCACTGGAGAGGACACTGAGTTTCAGCACAAAAGAAATTGATATCTTTCTACCAGACTAATTTAGAATCAGAAAGCTCACCAGAATGGACTATTTCAAGAATAAGTATCAGTGAACAAATCAAGGGAACAAATTTGCACAAAACAACTTCAATAATTTTTCCCCAAATAAATTCTCTAATGCGGAGAAGAAAAAATACAAGGCAATTATTTGAGTCCATTTAAGAGCCTCATTCTCTATTCGCATTAACCTATGGGAAGATAGGCCTGCCACCCCACAAGGACAGCCTACTCAATGGGCGATACATATAAGGGTAATGGGTTGGGAGAGTTCCCGTGAGAAATATCATCAAAGTGGGATTTATAATTTTTCCTACGAAGACTATATAATTCTCACCTTGGGAAGGAGGGAAGACCAAACGTCATGGACCTTTTATTTCCACCTGTCAACTGAGGTAGCTCTCATGGGCAGACTTGGAAGAGACTTACCATGTTCAGGGACCAAAGACTAAGCACAGCAAATGTCGATTCCCCCAGATTAATATAGGCTTAGTGCAATCCTTGTCGCAATCCCAGCAAGTTTTTTTTGTTGTCAGATTATTCTAAAATTTATATGAGAAGGCAAAGGAACTAGAATTACTAATACAATTTTGAAAAAGAAGAATAAGATGGGAGGAATCAGTACCTACCTGATTTCAAGATTACATATACGGCTATAGTAATAAAGTTATGGTAATGAAGATGTTATCGGTGGAGTAGAAAATAAAACTCAGAAATAGGCTCACACGGATATGTATATATGTCCAACTGATTTTTGACAAGTGAAGAGGCGATTCAATGGAAGGAAGGTAGCCTTTTTAAAAAAAATGGTGCTGGAGCAATTGGACATCCACAGGCAAAAGAAAGAAAGAGTAAAAAGGGAGGTGGGAAAGAAGGGAGGGAAGGAGGAAAGAAAGGAAGGAAAGAAGGAGGGAAGGAAGGAAGGAAGAAAGTGAGGGAGGGAGGGAGGGAAGGGAGGAAGGAAGGAGAAAATGAATTTCTACTTAATGATACAAAAATTAACTCAAAATGAATCATAGACTTAAATATAAAATGTAAAGACAAGGAGGAAACGGAGGATTAAAAGGAAATGAGTAAGGCTATAAAAGGACGACGCGAGAGACTGCTGATAGAAAGGTTGGGCATCTTGACTATCAATGTCAAAATCCTAGCTATGATAATATTTAGTAATTTTGCAACATGTTACCACTGGGGGACTGGGTAAAGGTTACACAGACTTCTCGGTATTAATTGCACACAAATCTACAACCATCCCAAAACCAAAACTTTAACTAAAAAAAACAAAAAACAAAAAAACTAAAAAGAATACCTCTTTCAAAATTTTAATCCATAGCTGAGCTCAAAACAAGAAAGAAAATCTCTATGTGCCAAAAGGAAAAGAGTGGAAACTGAATGGTCCTGGAGAGAGCCATGGGCAGCTATTCAGATTACAAGTCTAGACTTAATTCCCCAGCAAGAGCTGGAATGGAAGCTACTGTCTAGCACAGAACCAAGAACTGTATTTACTTCAATAAAGCCTGAGCTGAGAAATCCTGTTCCTGACTGTAAACAGGCATTTAAAACATTTGTTTACTGATTCAGGTGTACAGTTCAGGTGTTCAGGTTGTGGGTGCCTAGACCAAGCCTTTAGGGAAAGTGGAGTACCCCATGAATTGTCTGAACCCCAATCCTGTATCATGCATAAGTGCGGAGTCTAACATTTTGCACTATCATCCTGGTGCAAAAATCTAAACCGAAATAATAACAACAAATTAACCTAGAACAAGCCCTGGAGGCCCCTGGCAACAGTAAATCTAAAACCACCCCACTGGGATTCTCATAGGTCACAACTCCCACTGAGGATGAATTCCGAGTCTATCTGATTCAAGAACAGTTTCTCCATCAAAGAACTCGGAATAGAACAAATCAACTAAACTGTTCAAAAGAAACAATTCCATAACTTCAGAGTTATAAAAGTGTTGAGGGGAAAAGGATGGGGAGGATGGTGGAGATGACAGAGGGAGAGCTACGGAGCTGGGGACATGGGCTAATCTGAAAACAGCTTCCAAGAGGATGGGCACCAGAGCTGAGCGAAAAGATGTTAAATGGAGGAAGGAAGTCATCCCACAGCTTGTCGTGGGTAACTTCTATTGAGTCTTCAATCTGCAACCATCCTGAGTCCGCTCCAAGAGAGACTAAATGAACTTCAAATTATAGCCAACTCCAAGACAACATAACCTCCTACATCAGGATGACCACATCTGAAGCAAAGAATATGCCAGCCCTGAGCCACAGGAATGAGAAGCAGATGTCCTCCCTCCACATGAGAGTGTTTCCTTCCTCAGAAAGCCTTCCCCAATGCCACCTCTGCCACCAGGAGTGGTGGCAGGCTGAGCTCCAGCATATCCTACGCCGGCCATCCTGTGAATGTGAGTGTGCGGGGTAATCCCTGGGTGAAAGGCAAAATAAATATCCTGGAGATCAGACCTCAGACCAGTGATCAGGAGAAATCAGACTCAAGTTCAACCACTTCCCTTTGGACTAAGTTCACTCTAGGTGAGCATCAGCGAATTATGGCACATGGACAAATGACCTTGAAGCCAGCCAGCGTGTCTGCTCACAGAAAGGAAAGAAACTCATTTGCTTTGGTGCCTTTTTTTATAACCATCCATTAATTGTTTAATTATATGTGAAAGGCTTCAAAGTAATCCCAGTGGATTGGTTCTTCTGGCAAAATCATTTAATGATTTGAATCTAAAAATTTTCCATCATCTTGGCTACTACCACAAAATTCCATTAGTTAATATTTGCTTCTTGGTGCTCCTATATATAATTAGTATGAATCTGAAATCTGAATCTGAAAATGTCCATGTGGTGGTTCTCACTGCTTTCCGGGGCCATTCGAAAGTGAAAAGTCCCATTACTCTATTTCTAAGCCTGGAATTAGGCTAAACGGTAAGCCCTTAGAAAACACAAGATGAAAGTAGGGAGCAATTTAGAGCAGTGGTTCTCAACCCGACTGCAGGCTAGAATCACCTGGGCAGAGCTGCTACTTTAGAGCTCTTACACCCCCATACCTCCAGACCGAGCAACTTTTAATTTTATGCCCTTTCTCCCCGACCTGCTTGGAGGTTGGGACCATCTACATCTTCAGTGTTCAACTAGTAAGTGTTGAATGCATCTGTGAACCCAATGGCAGTGGGTGTGCAGGTCAAGATGCCAGGGGTATGGGAGCAGAGGAGGGAGGCGAGGGACCCAGGCACTCACCAGTCCGTGGCAGGAACTGAGGGCTGCAGTCCCGATTCTGGTGCCCTGCTGCAGAACCGTGCCCTTGAGATGGCAGGGGGGCGCCGAGGAAGCCACCATCTTAATATGGGAGAGGTTCCCATATCTCCTCTCCACAATGTAGCTTCTGGAAAGAAGTCCCTGATTGACTGTCAAGTTAAAAAGCAGGTCCTTCTCCTCGTGTGAAATCCTATAGTACACCCGGTCCTCTGGGCCACCCAAGTCTCTCTTCCTCCTGCTGCTGGTGAAGGGGTGGTGCAAGCCATATGACAGAAAGTGCCCACTTGCATCGACGCGGACAGGAGCCACCACATGGTATTCTGGCAGGCCCTTGATGACATGCTCTGAAAGAAAAAAGGATACAGAATAAAACTGAGGGAGCCCTGCTGAATCTGTAGCAAGGCAAATGCACTCCTGTTCCTCACTTAGATTTTAGTTTGTTAATAGCAAAACTCCACTGCTGACTTGCAGTTTTAAGACCCCTTCCACCATACAAATGCTGTCAACATGAAATTATTTGAACAGACATGGGACTCGATCCTCGTGTGTGTGACCCTCTGAGCTCAAAGCTTAGGATGTCAGATGTTTTACCAGAGCCAAATGAAGGCGCAAATTAATTCATGATGAATACTGTTAGGAAGACGGCAAGTACGATGAATGGGAACATTTCAAGTTAAGAGTTGTTTAATACAAATCAGGGCTTCGCTGTTCATTATAAGGAGTTTAGATGCCTCGGGAATGTCCCATGAAGTCGAGTTAATGGAAAAATGCAAAAACACAGCAAACTCGTCACATATGCTCTGACAAACCTCACATTAATTACAGCCTAAGTGTTCGGTAAGGTAGCAGAGAGTGCTTAAAAGAACTTGGGTGGTTCTTTTTTATTTTCACTAAATATACAAAAAGAAGGGGTAAGCAATCTGAGGCCTGGGCTCAAAACGTGAAAATTGCCACTTTAACATTGCGAGAGAGGAACAGCTATTTCTTCTACATGCAAGAACACACACGCCTTTTGACTTACTCAAATTTAGGTCCCCACCACTCCTTCATTTTTATGTTTGAGAATAACAAGGGATCTAACGATTAGGGAATAATCATTACTCTGGGTTACAGAGTTCTTAAAGCAAACCATTAACCAACTTAGAAGATAAACTAATCCGCTTGAGGAGAAAGAATAAAAGGGAGAAGAAAACAATTCTATTTGTCACTTCACAGCTCTACTTGCACTTTCTAACTTGTATTACTTTGCTTGTGTTGCTTCCCCAACCACTATGTTGTTTGTGCTCTCTATCAATGTCCTATTTATTCCTGTTTATGCTTTAAAGTCCCAACTCCAATCCTCTCTCTTCTTTCTCTTAATGTCGCTGGCTGAAATTCCCTCTCCCTCTTCTGAACCCCCATATCCTTACTTTCTGTAGCTCCCAGAATGGCCTTATTTGACAATATCTTTTGTTTATTACATTATTTATCTCCAAACCCTTTGGAGGCCAGAATCTTGAACATCACAGGTGCCTGCTTCATCTGTGTGGATGTAGAGGTGAACACATTTATAGCTGGTTAATTAAAAGAACTGGACCTGATGAGGTAAATTATAAAAGATCTTTTTTTCCTCCCAGACAACTGCCTTTGAACACACTTTGTAGGGTCGTTCATTTCTGCCTTGGATAAAATATGGGGCAGAACACAGAGTTTTCACTCTTAGGTACTAATAAAGTGTCTCCGTTTTTAGGTGTAAAATGTCCAGACACATTGCCTTTAACTGAAGCATCTGGGAGCAGCAGACCACATAACCACATGACAGATCTTAACAACAATGCCCAGTGGAAAATGAGAAATAAAGCAAGTTAATACAGAGCCATTTACATTAATGGTAAATACGTACACACAAAAACAATACTATAAAGTTTACCAGGACATACGCAAACAAAAAATGCATATGGAAGCCGTTCGAATTATTTTCTATGAAATGGTTTTCTATGAGAAAGAATGAAAGTGGAGAATGGGGACACAATGCATAAATAAATAAAACAAGAATGGGTTTTGCACAAATTAATGATGCTACTATGCCATGAACTAGGAGACAAACTGACTCAGGCCTCCATACTGCCCCCTCCGCAGGGAATATCTGGACCTCTTTAGTATCAGAGCTGTCACTGCTCTTCCAAGTTCAGACCTCAGGAGAGGAATGGCTGAGCTGGGTGAGGCCGATGTGGTAGGCTTCTGTTAGTAGTTCTCTAATGTTTCTCCTCTCCTTTACTACTCACAACGATGTCTCTGGCTCCTCTAGGGTTAGAGCAGTAGAGGAAAATTCAGGGCAGGAAAAATCTTATTCGACTGAGTATTACTGTCATCTGGCAATGGCCCCCCTGTGTGTGAGGTCAATGTCCAGATGCTGACACCTCTCTCAAGAGAATCTCTTATGTCCCTCACAGATCCTGTCTCTGAAGATACATCTCAAAGAGTTAGACATAAGTTTTGAAACTATAAACGAAAGGCCAAAGCACCTCTTGCCCAAAGAATAAAAGCGCAAACAAATTTAGAGCTTTTCACCAAGTTGCTTTTGATCTAATGGGTTTTTGAGAGAGCCAACATCAGGTGGATGTCTGACAATATAATGATAACAATTAGTGTAGCCATTTATTGAGCACTTGCTATGAGCCAAGTACTATAAGTCTCTCCTCACCCAATATTCATAATGACCTTGTCTTATAGATTATTATCGCCATTTCATAAAGAAACCGAGTCTAAGGGAAGGCACAGAGCCAATACGCAACATTACTTAGATTAAAATCTTATGTTTCCTATTTCAAAGTCATGTGTTTCCCACCGCACTTCACATACATAAGCAGCTGCACTTGAGAGTATAACGGAGTAGAGGTAATAGTCGCTGCCCCTGGCAACGATGACCTGGCAAGAAAAGAACTGCTTGACTTCTTGAAGAGGCCTCGATTTGCTCAGCAATAAATGGAGATGACAACTGCGTCTTCATCGGGCATAATAAAGAGAAATAAGACTGGTCTTGCCTCTTGCTAACAAAGCAGCTAAGTCATGTCAACCCATAGGTGTGGATGGAAATAGGAGGCCACGGACAGAGCATGGTTTATGTTGGTGGCCCCACTACAGTTGTCTCATCTATAACTTGGGCATAATAATAACAATATCTACCTCTTAGGGTGGTACGAGAATCCAATGTATTAATATATGTAATAGATTTAGAATGTGCTTGACAAATAGCGCTCACTAGACATTATTGGTATTAAAGGAAGAAACTTGGCTACCAGAGATCACCGTGGCCATAAATAAATGTATCCTCCAAGCAGAGATACAGAAGAAACTCACACTCACCTCGGTTTCCTCTCAGTAGGTGCTTAGTTTGGAAGATTAGGTAGCTATAACCTTGGCCAACAGAAATTAGAGTTCAGAGGAGATATGACAGAGATAGAGAAATAAGATGGCAGGAAATATTAACAGCTCCTAACTTTTACCATTTCTATGATCAAGTATAGCACTAAGACTACACTAACTTGGTCCCGTCTAATGCTCACAGTTCTCAGGGGTGGGTATTATTAATGGTGTCCCTTGTCTTAGCCTCCACTCTCACCTCTGTAAAAAAAAAAAAAAAAGAAAGAAAGAAAGTGAGGTAAGGATTCATGTTGGCGCAACTGGACCCCAGAGCCTACCCTTCTAAGCTCTGCCCTAACTGCTTCTCAAGGGTCTAGCACTGAGCACCAGATGTCAAGGCTGAGGCGAGGCTGGGACACAGGGTTATGATATCACAGTCTACACTAGGGTTTATGGAAATAAATTGTAGGCCCTGAATGTTTTGATTTGCCTGGTTTAAAATTCAATCTGAAACCTTTGGCCACAAATTCTAACACTTCATGAGAACTTTGAATGAAGCCTGTTGGCACAAACACTTCTGAAAATACAAAAGACCAAGTGATCTTATACCCTCTACTTAGAAAGAAACGAAAGAGGTGAGAGAATATTTACCTGCCAGTTTTTATAAATTTTAGGTCAAATCTATACTTATTATTCATATTTATTCCTATCTTAGAGAGCAATTGAATTTCAAAGACTCCTTACTGAAAAGGGCAGTGAAATTTCTGTAATGGAAGTTTATTTTCATAATTATCTTCCATGGGTGGTTGTAACCTTTTGACTGTATTTTTATTATAGAAAATTACATATGCGGAAATGTTGTGAAGAAGTATGTTAGTCCCTTTGAAGTTGTAAAAAAAAACCACTGGATGTTGGATTTGCTCACTAACCTCATGATAACTAATCCACAGACCATAACTGCTCCTTATTATTAACACAAACAAAATATCAAAACTGTGAAGCCTTTTCTCACATTAAGAAAATATCTGAAATCATTTCTTGCTGGCAGAACTTATATTTTTGCAAATGTCATAAATGCGTGATAACATTTGTGTCGAAACACTCTGCATTCTTGCACAAGCCTGTGCAGCCCAGAGCACATCTCTACCATGGGGTCAAGGGCCTACCTTGTTGATTTCATGGAGTCGTCGGGAGCAAAGGCGATCACAGAAGTGATTGGTGACTTGTAAACAGTCCAGGGAATAACAAACCTAAGGGGATATCACTGGCTTGGAAGAGAGGCAATATGTTGTACACGAGATTAATATTTCCCATTGTTCTGATGCTAGATTGGGAACCTTGCGGATAAAAGTCATTGCACCACTGAGCGATGTGGAAAGAATACTGAGCAGAGTTTGTCAAATCTGCCTGTTTCTAGACCCAGAAAGGGTTGCGTTTATCTCTACATTCCTTCCTTGGTCTAAAATCCCGACTGGGCCCGACCCTTTAAACGAGAAGGAACCTTAGTGGTTATCTAGGCTCTAATATGTTTCTGACTGGTGGGTCCTGTGCAATTCCCTTCAGCCCTCTGGTAAACTGGCATTTGGTAGGTGCTCAATAAATACATGTTGGCTAACAGACTGATCACCTCGGTCTCCCATTCCTCACCTGTAAAAATAAGAAGGATAAGAGAGATGATGTCTAAAGTAATTCGCAAGTTTAAATGTTCGGAATTTGGGTGCAATTCAAAAATGCCGTCAGAGTGCAAATGGAAGTCTAGGGGCATGGGCTAATCACGAAGCAGCAGGCAGGTCATTTGGAAGCAAACCCCAGGTCATCCTGTTCCCAGGAAGCCTGAAAATTTCCCTCTCTAACTAGTTGGCTAGAACTCTGCTCAGAAATTTCTCTTTTGCTTAAAATGTGGATTATTTGTAAATCCATTAGTGAGTTGATTAAGGCCGAATATTTTGGTGTAAAGGCTTTTAAAATCTGAAATTATTTTTTAAACCTAAAATGTCTAGGCATCGTCAATAAGCTCGCAGCACTTTACAGCTATTTTTCAATATCAAACTCTCAGTACATACCCCTAAAGGTGACCAGGAAAAACAACCATCTCCCACTTTCCAGAGAGGAGAAAGCAAGGCCCCATAGTGTGTGCTCCACGCTAAGCTGAATTTGCTTACAAAGAAGATGTGGAGCAAGCAGAGCTGAAAACCAACCCAGAAGAATGTGTGTCTTTGAACCAAACTACCTCCAAATGCCCTGGGAAGTGCTCGCAGGCTTTGTGAGGCTGCAGAAGAGAGACTTTTCACAAAGGGGCTGTTTTTCAAAGAACAACAAATGCTGCTATTTTAAACTTGGGGGTTGGAGACAGTATCTGGACCGTTTACACAAGCGAGTGCTGACTGATTGACATCGAACCCCAGTGTCTGAGGGTTCCAGCTTCCAAGAAAAGCAAAGGGACTTGCTTCTGATGGCTCTTGAAGTCTCAGCAGATGAGCTTTCCAGCAGTTTTGGACTTTGCAACGTAGGCAGAAATCACTGCCTGGAAATCCTAAACAAGGACAGGCTGGTGATGTCTGCCACCCAAATGGTCTTGGGGATGAAAGGAGTCAGAAAGCCATGGAAACTTCTCAAGACTCGAGCAGCAGACACGGGACTTAATGGATGCTAACCTAGCGCTTGGTGCATGAGATTGCACACGTGTGTGTGTGTGTGTGTGTGTGTGTGTGTGTGTGTGTGTTGTCTCTATTACAACTATAGGGCAATGTTGCTTGACTGTAAGAGGCCAGCCTCTGGAGTCAGGCTACCTGGCTTCAAAACCTCACTCCACCACTAGCTAGGCCCATACATTCTCCATGTTTCAGCTGCCTCATCTGCAAAACAGGAATAGTTACAATGGTCCCTGCACCCCAGGAGGCTGTTGTGGGTGGTCATAGGGTGGGCTGACACACACAGAGTGCCTTAGCAGGCTTGGTGCATGTAACATTCTCCAGCCACACAGGCCATTACAAATGCTATGACTGTTTTCTCCCAAAAGCACAATGAACTCCCCACCAACAGGAAAGTGTCTCCGACCCTTCCAAGTCCAATAAAATAGCAGAGGCAACAGCACCACTCTGCCAGGGTGTCAGGCTTAATAATAATAATAATAATAATAATAATAATAATTAATAATAATAATAAATTATCTATCACAACTCCTCCAGTGTGTCTATGGCATCATGAGTTTCACAATATTCAGAAAGAGACGCAACTGGCTGTGATCAGGGAGGCAAGACAGGAAAAGGTGACCCCCTAAAGTGGTAAATTTTCCCCCAAAGGACTGTTATTTTTAAAACACAGCCCTAAGTCTTTCCAGGAAACCAAAACACAGCCAAGATCACTCGGGGGAGGCGGAAGCGGGAAGGCTCACGGTGGTGGGGAGGGCACATTTCCCCTTCCCTGACCCGAAGTTTAAAAGTAACTAGAAACACTGTAATAATGCCTGCCCGTAGCCAGTTCTAACTTTTTTTTATAAAATCATTTCCACATTCAGAATTCTGAAAACTAGGGGATTGAAACAGTGCAGCCTTTAGGAAACAAAAGAGAGAGGTGGGGGTGGTTACCAGCTACCTCTGGAGTCCTGACTGCAGCAGCATCAAGAGCACGATATTCACCTTTTAGTAAGAATTAAGGTATCATCACCTGGAACACGGAATTCCGAGACACTCTATGGTACAGAGCTCCCAGCTCAGATTTCCTTACAAATCAGCCAAAAGGCTCTGCAGAGTTCAGCCAAGTGGGGGAAGGGAAAAGGGAGCCACCGACTTTTCACACGTTTTACCACAGATTTTCAAAGGAAATAAAGAAAAGCCACCAACCTTGCCTCCTGTCCGGGAAGCGCACCTGGCCCGGCTGAGGGGGTTCCCCATAGCACAGGCCCCCAAAGTTCAGGAGCTGAGCCACCACCAAAAGGTTTGCAAGCCAGCTCCTCTGGACACATGGCATGATTCGGTTGTTGGGGAGAAGAAAAGTCACCAAGTTTTAGCTCTCAGCTCAAGAAATTGAGTCCTCGCCTGTGGCTGAGCGGGGAGACGCAGAGGTGCATGGTCCAGGAGTGGGGCGGGAGTGGCCGCAAAGCTGCCCAGATCTCCTTTCGCTTTTTTTAAGCAGAAAGGGGCTAGGTACCTTGATTTCCCTTCCCTCCTCCTGAAAGGGGAGTGATTTCAGCTGAGAGCGGCTGCTTTGCGCGGGGTGTGGAATGAATTGGAGCTGCAGGGCGCAGCCCACCCCAGATCCCCACCCCGCTGCCTCCCGTGCCCGGCCTCGCCGCCAGCTCCGCGCATCTTCCTCCAGGACTCCCACCCCCGCGTTCCTCCGGCCCCGCCCAGAGCCCGGGAGAGCCGGCCAAATAGGGGAGCCCCGCGAGAGCCACCCTGGGCGGGACTCCGAGAGGGAGGCCCGCAGGCCAACCCCTAGCAAGGCCGAAGTACTGGCTGAAAATGCTTAGCGCTGAGATGGGGCAGAGGGACCCCGCTTCCCCACCCTCCCCAGCTCAGTGCTGCCCCCTTTCCTGCCTTCCTCCTCCAAATTCCCAAACTTTTCCTAAATTTGCTCTCTCTACCAAGATTCCTCAGTTGGTCAGACTTCTCTGGGATCCCCTTCATGGGCAGACTACGACTCCCATTTGCAAAAATAATGGACAACTTTTCTCTGTCCCATAAAGGAAATCGGTCTGAGCTAATCTAGTTTGACCCTGGACTAGCTCCTTCCTCTGTGCGAAAGGCAATAGGACCAAATGATCCTGAGCCGCTCTGAGTATGCAGGTCTCTCTGGTGCTTTTCTCCTTTTAGAACTCTACTTCCCGGCCCACCTCCACTCACCCGAATGGAAGCCGGGACAGTGGAGGGAGCAAGCCAGGCCAAGCAGGCGTGGAGGTCGTTCTCCAGTTCACAGGAACAGGCTGCCCAGGGAGGGGGCGTCCATTCAGAGGCTCAAGCTTGACATCACTGAGAGCATGCCTCCAAACAAGGAGCTTGCCAGACTTCCTGAGAATTTACTGGGATGATCCAGCCAAGATTTTGCACCTCTGGACTGAAAAAGGCTTTCTTACTCCATTCAGGAGGAATTTGGCCCCACGTTGGTTCGCCATGGCTTCCAGCCAACCAGACGTGTTCAGGGAGAGGTGTCCGATACCAGCTCATCCAACCTTGCCCAGAGAGGGGGTCGACCACCTCAATGCACTGACCCAAGTGCAAGCTGGTCCTCACGGGCCTGGGCAGAGAGTCTGCAGAATTTCAGACTGAATACATACACACCACGACATGTCAAGGGGTATGTATTAGTTTCCTGTTATTGCCATTACAAATTCCCATAAACTTGGCAACTTAAAACAACATAAGTTTATTATTATTTTACAGTTCTGGATGTCAGGAGCCTGGGACCTCTCACTGGACTAAAATCACGGCTGCATTCCTTTCCAGAGGCTCATTTTCTTGCTTTTTCCAGATACTAGAGGTTGCCCACATTCCTTGGCTCATGGCCCTCTACCCCCATTTCAAAGCCAGCAGTGGCCAGTTGAGTTGTTCATGTCACATCACTGTGCCACCATCTCTTTTCTCCTCCCTTTCCACTTATAAAGACCCTTGTGATTACATCGGCCCCCCAGGATCATCCAGGATGATCTCTTCATCTTAAAGTCACCTGATTAGCAGCCTTAATTCCATCTGCGACCTTTATTCTCCTTGCCAGGTAAACATAACATGCATCTTGGGCCAGTCAGAACTGCTGGAAAAGGCAAGAAAATCAGTAAGGCAAGAAAGTCAGAACTGTGTATTACCCAATAGGCTTCAGTGAGAACAGCGTCACTTCTGTGAAGTCTCTACCGAAGATACATAGCCTGAATCTAATAATGAGGAAACATCGGATAAACCGAAGTGGAGGGATCGTCACAAAAGGCCGTGAAAGTCTGAGGAAAACTGCAGAACGATTCCAGATTGAAGGAGACCAAAGAGGTATGACAACTAAATGCAAGACACAATTCTGAATCCGGTCCTTCGGTTATAAAGGACATGGCTGGGAAAATTAATGAAACTTGAAAGGAGAGAGAGGATTGCATGGTAGTATGGTATGAGTGTCAACTTCCTGATGGTGATGGTTGTGGTTATGTAGACGAGTGTCCTTGTTTGTTAGAGATTCACATTACAGTATTTGGAGAGGATGGGGAATCTAGTTGACAACTTACTCTCAAGTGATTCAGAACACAGAAAGGTTTGTTTTTTTTTTTAACTTCTAATTTTTCTGTAAATCTGAGATTATTTCTAAACAAAAAAAAATCAAATGTAACAGTTTGGTCTCATTCTTTAAAATAATTTAACAGTTGGTGGATATGCTGCAGAATAGCATAATTCGAGAAACCTAATCATGAGAAGTTAGTAGCCAATTAAGTGCTCAGGTGTGGTGGTCTCCGGGCACCCAGGCTGACAGCTGTGGATGCCACCATGATCAGGCCGGTCCTGTGTTGGTCCTGAACCACATGGGCACCAGCCCCTTTATTTCATTCGGCTTTAAAGACTAAGTCTGAATTAAAAAAGAGTGTTCCTATTGTTCCTAAGCAGAGAAAGAAATTAGGAAGGAGTGAATCAGGGAATTTTTTAATGCTACTGCCTTAACAAAAAGAGAATACTTCGATTATTCATTCAACGATATTTATTGACTGCCTTCTATGTCCAAGCATTGGAAATATAGCAATGAATAAAATAGTCAGAGACTCTTTTCTCCTGCTTGTAGGTGCCCTAGTTTGGGTTGTGGGAGGCAGAGGCATAGAAAGAAACAAACAAGTAAATAAATATATAATATATAATAAGATAGTGATAAGAACAGTGTAGAACAATAAACAGGCTAAGGAGGACAAGGAGTGATTGAGAGAGTGGCTCCTCTTTATATAAGGGAGTTATTTTTCAAGGAGTGATTCATTAGCTCAAACTGGAGGCAAGGATAGGAAAGATGTTTTGTCTCTACACACTCAGTTGCACAGAAGTAAAAACTGGAAGAGAGAGACCAAAGGTTGGGTTGATTCTGTTAAGAAACAATAACTCCACTCACTAGTCAATGCGGCTCGATGGCTGTCCTGGAAATCCGACCAGATTAGAAGTTCTCTCATGGAGAGTGGTGTCAGGAGGGGATGGAAGTATCAAGGAATGTCCACAACCCTACTTTATCCCACTTTATAGTCTCTTAATCCCCTGAGCTCAACCAGAGCCCATGAGTAGCCTGGGTGCAGATCTCCTTAGAGGAGGAGACCAGCCAAGAATCAGGGGTCCCAGAGGGCCATTCCCCTGATATTCGTCTCTGCTTTTTGGTGTCTTCCCAGGATCCCTGAGAGCAGACCATCAGCTGTGCCTCCCAGGAAACTCTAAAATGACTAAACGAGATTAGTTCGGGTAGCAATAAGGATTTTACCATAACAGTACCCACTTTTTTTTTTCAGCTTTATTGAGGTATAATTGACATACAACAACCTGCACGTTTAAAGTTACAATTTTTAAAGTGTTGACATATATACACCTGTGAAACCATTATCACAATAAGTTTTGACATCCATATATGTGTGTGTACATGTGTGTGTGCACATGTGTGTGTGTCAAACCAGAAGTTTTCTCCTGCCCATTTGTAATCCCCCACTTCTGTTTCTACTTACATCACTCCCAATTAAAGGAAGCCACTATCCTGCTTTCTGTCACTGGAGATTAGTGAGCATTTCTACAGTTTTATACAAATGAACTCATGTAGTATGTTCTCACTTTTGTCTGCCTCATTTCAGTCAGCATAATTATTTGAAATTCATGGATATTTTGTTTGTCAACACTTTGACCTTTGTATTTCTGTATAATATTCCATGTATGGATCTACCACAATTTGTCTATTCATTCCCCTTGTCACTATTTTTATCTGTTGACCATTGGAAAAATGATGGAGAGAAAACTTGGTCATGGACACCTAACCTAAAAGCAGGCAGATGTATGTACACCACTAATTCATGTTAAAGATCTTTTCGTGTAACTGACGAAGCCAGGCCCCTAAGTGTTCCAACAATTACATTTCAATGGGCAGGATGTATTTCTCTTCCGGGTCAAGTAATTTTAAAACATACACATCAAAATAATAAAAAAGTCAGCTTTGAAGTTAACCGTGGATTAAGATAAAAGTTCTCTTTATGGTTTTGTAGAGTCTCAACAGAGCTTGCCCACACTGCCAGATAGCGGTTAATTTATCTCCACAGCCACAAGATGAATATTTGTGGCACTTGGATTCTTCAGAGCACAAAAAGCCAGACTCTGTGCTCTCAGAGACCCTCTCCTGAGGCCCAGGAGATAGTCAGCTGAGGGATGGATGCCTCTATGACACCTTCGCCTTCCTCAGTCATGCTTTCCAAAGGGTGCCTGCCAGGATCGCCTCCTTGGCAATGAGAAGGCCTCGTTTGTTCTCCATAGCCCCTCCGAGTGTGGCAGGTAACAACGGCTCACACGATTAATTCATTGTTTTGTTGACCTACTAAGTCTGCACCAAGTCTCCTGAGAGGCCTCCGAGAGCAAAGGGTCACCATTTCCTGCTTTAAAGTAGCAGCAGTGATCTGACTAAGGCATTGCAATTCATCTCTTGAAGGTGAGAGAGGTGGTGTGTATGGACAGGCTGAAGGAGACTTTGAAACCCGGTGTGAGGAGACGAGGGACACGGGTTAAGTTTATGAATCCATGGAATAATATGTAAAGCAGAGAGAAGTCTATGAAGGACTTGTAGAAAAAAGTGGTGTTATCAAGTGGTGAATTAGAAGGTGGGCGACTGAGCTACACATCAGGCAGCAAGATTCACATTAATGAACCTTACGATTCGTTATGATTGATTTTCCACTCGATTATAAACTGTAGGTACAGGGACTGTGTTTTATTCATTTGTATATTTCTCTCAAAGAAAAAAATGGTAAATGAATATTTGACCAGAGGATGAGTGTGAGTGGGTGACTTAGTGGGGAATGTTCTGGGGGAAGATCTGCTTTGAGGCCAAGAAGACACCCTTCCCTTAAAGAGCTGGCTTCCTTTCCAGACTCCCATCTGACCTTGGGAAATAGATTCTGGTTTTAGTGTTAGACTATTCCCTCTTCTCTTTGCCCTCAGGGAAAAATATTTTCCTTCGTGGGCTTGCTTAAAGCAAATGTAACTATTTTAATCACCAGTCACTGCAACAACAAGAGGTTTGCTAATATTGACCTAGGGGATACTTGTTGCAACAGAAAAGCTATATGTACCTCAGCATAAGGTGGGCATTGGCCACTGCTCAGGGAATGATGGCAGTGTTTTAAGCACA